TATCTTTCTTCAATTCAAGAATATCGTGAATTCGTATACTATAATAGAACAATTAAATAATAATAAAAAAAAAAATATATATCTATCCTTATTTTCTTCGAATAGAACGAAAAAAGAACGAATCAATAGAGACATTCATACATAAAATACAGAACGAAACGAGTGAACGAAATACGCATCATAATCACTATATTTAATAAAATTCCGACTAATTTCTCGTAATATTAACTTCCTTTCGGAATTAATTATTTAAATTATTACCTATATTTACGAATAACGATACGAAATCTAAGATATATCGAATACGAATAAAAAACGAATATGATAATGAATCCACATACGAATCAACCACAATCGAATACGAAACAAATACGAATCAACCACGACTCCAAACCCGAACCGGATGCTGACCAGGCACGAACCGGACACGACACGAACTCAGAGACGAACCCAAACAAGAAGCGGATACGGAACGAACGCGCCAGACACGAACCCATGCACTAACCAAACACGAACCCGGTCGCGAACCAACCCAGATACGAACCCAAACACGAACCTCACGAGAAGCCAACAGGAATAGTGATTGACCTACTTCGTAGTTCTGCGACATTGTCTCTATATTCCCATGCGGAGCTCTTTTAAAGCGCTCTAGGTATATCGACTTTATCATTTAATCGCTGATTAAAAGGCTGGCATCTCCAAAGTCTCCAAATCCAATCCGCGAAACCCCACTCATTTCGCAGCACTTGTCGCAGGAGAAACAAGCTCTCAGAGCAGACAACGGTAGAAGTGCAAACAGCCCTCAGTTGATTTTGTCGATCCTCACCCAGATGCTATCCGTCTCTGGGTCATCAAGTTCTTTCCGCCTTTGGATTTCGAGGTCCCGCGCTATCATAACAGGCTGCGAGCATTAGCCAGACCCGAGCTCCCAAATGCGCACGGCCCACTCCATCCAACTTTCTTCGGCGTGTAGCGTATGGAAGGTGAAATCATTCAAGTTGGTTCCACACATGCTCGTGGAAAGCGGCCTGGCGATCGGAACCACGAGGAACTCTTCGGCAATTCTCTCTATGTCGAAGCCCATAACGCCTTTCTCAGCTGCTCAGTCGAAACCGCGGATTTGCGAGCTGCCTTCATCATGATGTCCGGCCTGGCTATCTTTAGGAGCTCCTGCGCGAAGCACGACATGCCAAAACGCTTGAATCTCTGCCTGAACTCCAGCTGCATTCAAACTGCAAGACGGCGGAACTCTATCCGTGAAGGCCCTCGTGTATGGTTGCCGACAAACTGCCCGCAACTTCAGGAAATCCAGAAGCTGGACCCACGACTTTGACTGCTCAGCAAGCCGTGTTGAGCTGTTTTAACACATTCCTTTTCGGTGAAAACCCGCTGTCTTAGCTTTGAATTCCTCCTCCTGAACGTACACCTGCCTGGGCTTTCAAGAGAAGCTTGGGATGTCTTGGAAATCAAGCAAGATTTCAGGCCAAGGGGCATGTAGGTTCTGTGACACTTCTTGCAGCAACTTTGCCAAGGGTGCTTGCCAACTTCATCGCAACGTACCTATGATACTGTTTAGCCTGGCGACAACCCGTTCCCCAGAATGTCGGGCAAGCTATTGACGAGCTGCTCACGATCACCAACACCAACGATGCCGCAGAGTCAGAGAAAACATGCGGAAATGCCACACAAACGTTTCCTGACTCATGGGTGTCCACGTCGGCCTCAGACCACAGGCAATCCCATTTTACCAGACTTGATGCCGCATCCCTGCCCTCGCAGCACGCATAGGAGTTCGGGAACGCAGCGGACGAGTGAGCAAGGCAACTGACCTTCCCCATTGTCAGCAACGCTTGACTGACTTGCTGAGGTGAGGACGGGGGCCCGGTGACCAAGATCACAGTGAACTTCCTGCCACGTGACAACCCACAACTCCGTCATGGAGATCATTGCAGCCTCTCCTCCGAAACCTGGCTGCGCGGAAGGTTGCACACTGCATCTGTTGATTGCGTCTCGCTGGCCTCGCATGTTTGATGCTGCGAACCCTGCAAAACTGAAGAAAAGTGGCTCATTCCATTTCTTGAGCCTTGTCTTCCAAAGGCTCGGCATACAGCTTTCCAGGTGGCGCGACCTCCCCTTGCCTCAACAAGCGCAAGAACGAACGGGACCTTCGAAGAACTCCTAGAGAGCTGGCGTGGCGGGCCAGCCATCACTTGGACCCTGGCTCTGGCAAATGTGGAGAACACAACCCGCAACATGGTCTCTGTCTCAGGCTCAATGGAACCACCATCTAATAGCACAAAGCGCGCTGGGCTGCAAACACCAACATGCATCCGAAAGCTGCTGCCACAGCACCATGGCTTACACGAACACGAATGGGGATCGCTAACTTCGCATCTGCGCAGCTGCGTTCCCTTGCGTGCTTCTGCATGCCTTGAAAAAAAATTATGCAACGGAACCTTACGCGACTGCGGAGTCATCCCACAACAGCAATCGACGATCCAAAAGCTTGCTCTGCGGCCTGTCTCAGAATCAAAATTGCCAGCATACAGAAAATACTCTTTGAAATGTCTGTTCGTCAAACCCTTTTTCCGGACGGATGGTCCAGGCTGCAAGTCTTGAGGGCGAAATCACCGGCCAACCGAGCAAAGTGTGTCGAAGCCAGCCGCACGTCTTCACAGTCCCAGGCATCCAGACTGAAGATTGTTATCGCTTTGACACACATTGTCGGCGACAGAAAATTAAAAGCAAAGCCTCAAATGTTAGAGTGTCCACAACATGTTGGCAGCCATGGAAGAGCTATTGAAGAGTCTCTTTCGTGTCAAAGCCTACTTTCTTGCAGGCCACCAAGATGCTAACACCCAAGGCCCACAGTATGTGGTCCTAAAGTTGAAGTTTGAGCGCTGCTGCAAGTGCTGCAGTGCTGCTGAATCCGTTGTAGCTTCAGGAGCAACAGAGCGACTGGGACAGAATTCCCGAGCCAGGGCTTCAATCCCCAATCCGGCACCAGAAGGATTTCACTCTTTCTAATCTCTAAAGCCCTAAAGCCCCAAAGGCACCAGCAACCCTTCTCCGCCATAAGATGTGAAGAGTTCGAATCGTCTTCTCCTCTGGAGCGGAAAAGCAATCCCAGAGACCCCCAAGCCAGTAAAGTCAGGAACGTACCTTAAGGGTTTAGGGTTTAGGCATCAGAGTTATTAAACGATATGGTGGGATCCTCCTCATGGTGTATAAATTATTTCCTCAATTTAGGATTTTTCGGGAGTCCCTGGGATCCAGGTGCTTCGTGGCTATTGGTGATGAAGAGGCGCGGAGCTCACGGCGCAATCTGGGAGAAGAAGTAATGTAGGGGCCTTAATCGTTGGAATGGGTTTTGGTGTAAAACAAGGAACCACCAAATAGTACTGGCAAATATTAAGGCCCCTATATTACGGCATGATACGGAAGGCTTCCATCCAGCCCATGTGGGCTTAAGGAAGTCAACGCAGCCGTCTAGAGACAGAGGCCAATGTCCGCCTGACATTTCGGGATTCGGCCCTATCACTTTGCCTGTAAAGGACAGCCATTCCTAAACCCTGAGCCCCAAACCCTAAATCCTGCCGAGTTTCATATAGGGTCCTTAAATCATTAGACTAGGGTTTGGAGCCCATTATGTTATAATTCCAATTAGGAACCAACAGAATAGCATAATAGGTAATTATGAAGCCCCCGATATTAGGGTTTAGGGTTTGAGGCGACATCACGGGTGTTACTTTCGGCCAGAGTCAAACCGGATCCACATTACAACACAAGCTGCTGGAGAACGTGATTAAAGGCTGCTGCAAGTAAGCCACATTAATCTCCTACATCTTGAACCATCAGAGCCTAAAACTCTAAGCCTGAGACTCGGTTGGGGTGCGTCGGAAGACGCGGAGAGTTGCTTTGTCAGGCGCCGTGGCCTCTGCAGTGCCCCAACTTAGTAGGGCCCCAATAAGGAACGGGTTGAAGAAAGACTCGGAGATCAGCGAGCTGCGCTCTGATCTTCAGGGTTGAGATAGTAAGAGGACTTTGCACTGCGACTGTGCTTGTACTTCCATATGATAGATCTGGGAGTATCCGAAAATTGGGGATCCTAATACAGTACCCTAAATAGTAGGATCCTCATGAGAAGGACCCCCAGATTGAGGGTACCCCTAATTCTCGGAAACCCCCATCTCATCCTCTGAAGATCTGAACCCACATCCACCATCAGTGCTGTCGCAATGTGGCCAGGCGGGGAAAGCCGGATTCCGGATGCGGCAATGATTGATCCTATGCCGTGCAACCTTACGCTAAGTCTCCATGTACCCATATAGTATACACTTCGGCCTTAAAGTACCTATACAGCGACCCCTGTCAGGCTTAAGTATCTACTGTAAAGGTACATGGAGCCTTTAAGTTCAGGCAACCACCGAAATCCATCGGAATCACTGCGTTGAGGATGCTTGCAATGTCGTGTCATCAAGTCTCAAAGCCACGGGGGACAGGAAGCGTGCTACTCACTGGCCCAAAACCAAAGGAAGTAAAAGTTGAAACTTTCAGAACCGACTACCTTATAAGAACCCCAAAAGTTTAAAAGTTGAGTTAACAGCCAATAAGGTTCTGACATCACTCAAGCGCTCCCATGAGCGGATCGATTCTGTGTTTAGGTTTAAGACTCGTGGCACCACACACGTAGGCTGCAAAAATTGCCAGTTCTCTTGTTCCCTAAACCCTAAACCGTCAAGTGCCCAAGCGCCAACCTTGCTGGGTCTCGGAAATCACCCATGGGACTTATATATATATATATATATATATATATATATATATATATACAGATATCTATATATATATATATATATTTATATATATATATATATATATATATATATATATATATATATATATATGTTGGGCGAACGCTGCATCGAATCCGGCATGCAGCTCTTGCCGGTTCTGGGGTGGCAAGCCACTTCCCAGATTACAGCACGTCTCCTTGGGGTGCATAATTAACGAAAACTGCTGAATAAACTGAAACTCCGCAGGAAGCGAGAAGTGAAGAAATGCTTGGGAAAGCAGCGGGAAAAGCAGCCTGGCACCTCTTCTATGAGAACTAATGACAGATTTTGTGACGTGTACCGGATGCGAGGAGCGCAACTTACTTCGATGGTGCCAGGTCTGCTGCAGTGCCGCACTGGTTTTGGTCCAATGCTCCCAAAGTTGGTGATGCTGCAATTCATGGCTTCTCTAGACTATGAAACCCAGCTCTGCTGCGCACCCCCTTGCCCGACCTTATTGGTTCAGGTATGTTTCAGGTTCGTCGAAACACGTCCTCTTGCTACACCTGCCTTGACGTTCTGATGTTTTTGCACCTCACAACCTGCCGCTGCAGAAGAATTCTGTCCTGTTGATGCCATTCTCAGATCGCTCCTCCATCCTGGCTTTCAGTGCCAAATCCTTTAGAACTTCAGTATGGCTCGTAGTGACCGTCCCTAGCATTGTTGCTGTTCTGCGCCATCTTGACTGTCGTCTTTCTGTGTGCGACTGCTCTTGGCATTGTGAGCCTCTTCTTGCTGTGGTTGCTTCCGCACAACGCACTTCTTGCTTTTGCACGCTGTTCCTGTCTGGGATAGTGACGGATGGTGCTGATGCTGTTTTGCACGCACTGCTCGCAGTCATGATGTCAGTCTTGCGGCTACTTCGATAGCTGCGTATGTGCTAACCCAACCAATTCACCTATTCCGGCTTCCAATGTGGAATTGTCGCTTGGCAGGCTCCAGTTTGAAGCTGGTATAAATCGCAGCACCGTGTGAAAATAAGCGGGAAGTAGCGCACCAAAGGTCAAGAAAGCTCTGCTGACTTCAGCAAGACCGATGGCTACAGACACCCGGCAAAGTCGGAAGTTTCAGAAATAGCATCCTGAATAGCGGGATCCTACTTTTCAAGGTCGCTCAAGAAAGTATCCCACTTCTCGGAAACCTCCATTTACCATCGATGTTGACATCCACGTTTGCTTCGTCTTCACGGCCCCTCGGAAGCGCTAGCGGCTACAGGCGATGCCGTGATTTCAGCTCAGGTCTGTCTTGACCTTCACCTGAGCGGGTGAGTTTGGACCGGAGTTGCGCGTAATTCAGTGCATTTGTCGCCGCTAACCAACTGTTTGGGCAGGTGGAGCGCACACCGGACGGTGGGCTGGTGATTTCACGAAGGAGCGTCTCCTGCCTAAACCCGAAACCGCCTAAACCGTGCCAGAAGTCGGGAATCAAGTCAAATCATCCGAAACTGAAGGGAGCGTTTACTCTTTGCAGCAATGAACGCCTTGGTTTAGGGGTTTCGGGTTTAGGGTGAAATAGCTGAAATTACTCGAACACTTTGAGCAGGGTTGCAATTTTGAATCAAGCCTGCATTTGAGCGTACAGTGCAGCATACGCTGTATGAGCAAAAGCGACGGGCTTGGAAATTGCAAGTCCATGAGGGGGCCATCTACTGGGTTCCCGCTAAAGAATCAAACTTAAGTTACCATAATATATATATATATATATATATATATATATATAGGGATCCAAAGGAACTAATATGGTTTCCTTCTTTGGGTGACTTAAACTAACTTCCTAAACAAGAACCCACTAAAAGCCCACTCTAGGCCCCCCAAAGCCTGTGACAAAAGAAGTGCCCAGCCGCCATAGTCAACGAGCGATGGAGTATCTGGCATGGCGTCCGGAGGCAGCACGCTGTCATCGAGCAGCCATTTCTTGGTAGGAGGGAAGGGTCCCCCACCCCCTCAATGGTATGTTATCGTACATGATGGTATTTTGTTAGAGTATGTTAGAGATAGTATATTCTATGTCTTAGGGTTTAGGGTTTAGAAGGTTTGAGAAGGTTTAGGACTTCGTGACCTGCCTCAAGCTCTAAGTCCTGCCAAACTGAGTTCCGATAAACGCCGACTGCTTCCACGAGGTTCAATGCTGGGGTCCTGAGTAGCCCCTTAAACACAAAGTGTCTAAGAAGCGAGCCAAAAAAGAAAAAGGGACGAGAGGGTACTACTGGGGGAACCCAGAATGCTTCGGGCTCTTGGGCGTTCTCGGGACGGCTTTCTGGAATCAATAGCAAGTCCGCTGCTGGAAACCTAGGCCTGGTTTCCGAGACTTTCGAACCCACCTGGAGCTTCGACCCGGATCCAACTTCGGCTTGTCGGCTGGTGTCTTAACATCTGAACTTCACAAGTAACCTTGACGAAGATCGGCAGAAACAGCGTCGAAGAATGAATGCTCGACCCACCACCCTAATAACCCTAATATAGAGGAGCCTTCATATTAAAATCGTGTTTTGGGCATATTACAATTATAAATGAACCCCCCAAATCGTACAGATCCCCTATACCAAATCGTTCGAGGCTCGGCCATTGTGGCAGCTTTGTCCGCTTGTCTATTTTTCTCAGGAAGCCAGTGCCAAATTCTGGACTGCACCTCCCGGACAAGGTCGTGGTGGGAGGACCGAGTTTACGCACTGGCAAAGCCACGTCACCCAAACCTAACATTGCCAAAGACTATGTGCAGTATGCTGTACCCACCCAGCATACCCAAGGGCAATCCGGACATCACACAGCGAGCCTCTGAGATGGAAGGGCGCTCCTGAATGACAGTTGGACTCTTGTCAAGTGCAAGGGTTCAGGTTAAGACATGCAAACAGTGCCTTGGATCGCAGGGTTGCGCAACCTTGCTCCTGCAACTGTCGATGCTCCTGAAAAGCTGCGCTTTACACACCGCTTGACCCGACATAACCCTAATCATAAGAATCGCGAACCTGGCAAAGAGATACTCTTCCAAATGCTCAGGACCTTGATTGTGATAACGACCATGAACAATAATTCCTAAGAAGAGTCCAGCCACATCCCAGGCGGCCCTACCCCAAGACCCTATGCAAGCCTGATCGTTGGGGCTCGGGCTCTGCTCATGCTCATACCCAGAGACTCCAACATCCCTTAATTAAGGAATATACCATAAATTATAGGGGCCTTAGTATTATGATCTAAGGCATCTGCCTTAATTAAGGGGTTTTGGGGTCTCTGACTGATCTCCGGAGCCGAATCCTCCATTCCCGAACCATCCCTCACGGTCACCTGACGCACGGAACATGGAAAAACCTCCCAGAGCACACCACTCCGCCCTTAAAAACCCCACACCCTTAAACCCTAAAGCCTACACCCTCAAACTCCAAACTGGGGCACTGACGTCTGGCTCCATGTGTCCACAGCTCGCGCATAGCTCCAGGCACTCCTCTGGTTTAGTTAGGGCTTCTGGTCGCAGGCTCATGCTGTTGTTACTATTGTCACTATAGTTGCGATTCGTACTCCTTTTGCTCTTACACTAGCATAACAACAACAGTAAGAACAACAAGAATATTAATGATGATAATACTACTTTCAGAAAAAGAAGACTAGTAGTAATAATAAAAACAGTGGCCTCAATAAGTAGAATAGGGTTTTGTGCCCATTACACTATAACTGTAATAAGGACCCCTCCCCCCAAAAACAAGTATTCGTAACTTTTGGCCCCCATATTCGCAGAATGGCTTCCCTAACAGTGTGACGGCTTTCCCGTCTTCGTGGCGAAGAGGATTCGGATGTTGCCACCGCAGTTCCCAGTCCACCAAGATGCCCTTTTGATTGCAAAGCACAACCGTGCCTTAATAATTAGAGTAGGGTTTGAGGGCCCATTATACGACAAGTATAATCAGGACCCCCCCCAAAAAATAGTAGGTAATTATTTAGGCCTAGGCCATAATATTATCTCCACAGTGCTGTGAGCCCAATCGCTCTCTCCATCTGTCCCGCGCTCTCTCCCCCACTCCCTCCCTCTCTTTCTCTCTCCCTTGCAATCTTCCTCTCGCTCTCGCTCTCTCTGCAGCCTGACAACAAAGATCGGGCCATAAACTGAGCCCCAAACGTACCATCAATACCTCAGAAACGAAGAAGTCGTCCGATGAATACATAAAGCATAAACTTTCTGCAAGCAAGCCTGCTTGCGGATCTTCTTCTTTACGCAGCCCGAAATTCACAACCCTATGTAAACCGCTCAACCCTCAGCCCGCAATTCTCGGGCCTCAGCCGCAAACCCTGAACCCCCAACCTCAAGCCCTCTGTGTCCTGCTGAAGAGGGATGCCATCACCCGAAACGGGAGTCGCATCAGCGCCAAAGGTCTGGCGACGAGGTGAGATGCCCAGTGCTTGGGTAATGATGGCGGGTCTTGAAAGTTGGAACAGGGTGTTGCAGTGTATCACAGATAAGGCTCAGCTAAAAAATACTGTTAGCAATTATTCAGGCTTCCCTTTTCGTCGTTTTAAGCGGCTTCTCACAATTGTTAGGGTCCTGATTTTGGACCTACTTGTCGGCTATCAGGCGGAACTAAAGGTTAACCTTCTTGGTTATATAGGGATTATTAAGGGACTATACTACCCAAACAAGGCGAAAGGTTACTTACTCGACTCACCTGCCCGGTTCAACGGTAGGCTTTCAAACCCTAGCTCGACCAAACGCGTCCTGCTGCCGCAAAAGGGTGTGCAAAAACAAATAAAATATTTGTTTTACTTCGCCGCGCCGCTTCACGTCTGCACACTGTGTCCCGACGATGGCAACTTCCCCTCTTACGGGGTCTAGCGACGCGGCAGCCAACCCTTGGGAAGTGGACGACGTCCATGCAATGACAAACGCTCCCTTGTTATCAGCTTGGTTCATGTGGAGGGAGAGATTGAACTAAGCAATTTTCGGCCCGCCAACGTTCTTCCAGGGCGAGCAAGCAGGTGCTCGCTTCGACGAGACCCCGCCCCTTGCCAGCCGTCTGCCCCCGCGCCCCTGAACGAACCTTCCTGTGCCTGCAAGCCCGGCCTAGCCGCCGTAGGACGTCGCCTAGAGTCTATTGCGAAGGATCCCAGAATGCGCCTCCAAGGGAAGTTTTCCAGTCACGGTCCAGTAGCACACTCCTCAGTGCAACCACAGCAAGCCCCGCTTGCCGAACTCAAGAGCGGAACCTTGATGGGAGATGCTCCGAGAAGCAGAAGCTCGAAACTCAAATCTCAGAGGAAACCGCGCCCTAACCCCTAAAACCCTAAACCCTATACCCCCAAAACCCCTAAACCCCTAAAACCCCAAACCCCAAACCCCACGGATGCTTTTGAACCTCAAAAGTCCGAACCACAAGAGCATCCAAGGCTCGTCCAAGCGACCAAATATCCGCACCTTGGTGCACCGGGTGATGTAAGGGCCTCTGATAATTAGAACTGGGCTTTGGCGGCATATTTCGGATACTGAAACAAGGAAGTCTATGACATGGTAGTGCTGGGTCGTCAAGTAGGGCGTCCGCGCCTTAGAGTGGCTGCCTCGACTCGATGGAAGACTTGTAACAAGCGGCCACATGATCTGGAACTCAAAAACCATGTCTTAGTCTAAGGCACTTGACACCCTGAGCCTAGGGCCTAGATCCGAGACCATTAAGAAACCCTAAAACTTAGCTCTAAACCCTAAACCCTCAACTCTAAACCTAAGAGCCTTAACTTTGCATCCACAAGGACTGATCGTGACTTCTCGCGGCTTGGCGCCCTCTGCAGAGTCACCTGGGAACAGGATCCCTGCTTGACGGTGGTAGGCGCAAAAGCGTGTTGTGTAGCAGGGTTTAGGGTTTAGGGGTTTAGGGTTTAGGGTGAAGGCCCTGTCAAGGGCAATCCACAGGGGCAAATGAGTCAGATCTCCATAGAAACTGGGTTGCTGAGTAGCCCTGGCCCTTAAAAATGAGGGTATAGCCTTTTTCCTACACCAAAAAGGAAGAAAGGGCAAAAGGTTACTTCTGGAGAACCTAGGTTAGCATGCCCTAAGCCCTTGAACCCTAGACCCCGAAGCCGAATGTAGGGGCCTTCATAATTACCCACTCAATTTTGGGGGTTCCTCATGACAACTATAGTATAATGGGCCCCAAAGCCCTATTCGAACTAATAAGGCCCCTATATTGACAGGTCGAGAGATGACGTGCAGAGGTCATGAGCTTGTGCAAAAGACCTACGCGATAACAGTTGGGCGAAAGTGTTCAGGTGCTCTGTGGTGTGAAGAGTTTCAGTTCGAGCTGGTTCTTTTAAGTTAAGGGGCATACAAAACTGTGATGATACCGATCGGTTTCGGATCTCGTGCTTGGGTTTGGTTGTCTGCCACGGTTTTCTCGGGGGACCTGGAGGCATTCCTCCTTCAGTAATCTCAGGTGTTTAGGGTTTTAGGCCTTAACTCCGAAGAAGACTTATATAAAGAAATCTCAATAAGGAGCCCCAAAAAGGTAGGTTATTCAGGGTTAAGGTAGGGATTGGGGTTCGCGGTCGCGTAGCCGGGCATGGCAAGCCTGGAGGTCCCTCTGGGCCAGGCCGCTTAGTGCTAATCACAATGATATGAAACCCCTAAACCCTAAAACCCCTCAAACCCCTCAAACCCCTAAACCCTAAAACCCCTAAACCCTGGAACCCTACACCCTTGAATGGTTGAAGGAATTGGGGATCCTTAAGGCTCACATGCGTCTGCTAAGGCGTTACGGGACCTCGAAAAAGAAGCACTGGCCTCAATATCTCTGCAGCCCTAAGCCGCTTTTTGACTAGTACCCCTGTAAATCCCTTGTAGGAACCCTTATAGACCCCTTTAAAGGAACCCTACATCAAGCCTCCCCCCATCTTCACGCTGAAAGCCGAGGTACGAGTGGGGCAGGTTTCTGGAGCCGCCCAGCGCCGGGTGCCGCCTCTGAAGAGAACACCGTCCTCTGGGCTCTGGATCATCCTGCAAAAATGGGAACCCAGGGACTGCTAGGGGTCCCTATTTAAGGGGATCTATAGGGGCTCCTTATAAGGGTTCCTATAAGGTCATGTATATAGGGTAAAGAAATAGGAATGTGGGCTTTCTAGGTTTGAGGCGGAAGTCTCAGGCGGTTCAGGATTTCAGGGCGGCGTTATAGCAATTGCCCAGAGAGCCCAATACCCCTTAATTAAGCAATATACCTTAAATTATACGGGGCTTCATATTATGATTTAAGCTACATTCCTTAATTAAGGAGTATTGGGCTCTGTGGGTATAGGGTTGAAGGGCCTAGAACTGTTGTCGCATACCGCAGCGATTTAGGATTTAAGGTGTAGGGTTCCGAGCTCTTTGATGCGAGCTTGCTTGGAGGAGGGCAAATAGGTAAAAAAACAAATATGAATAATTGTACATATATATATATATATGTCAAGCCTTGAAGGTATGCACGGATGTGAAGTACCCTGCGCCACCAAATCGAGCGCTACCACTGCTGGACATTACCTTCAGATCTTAGTGGTCCGTTTGGACATAATGCAAAGCAAGCTTCATTACTGTCGCAGTATAGAAGCCTAACTGAATGATTCGAGTTGGGTTTTGCAGTGATGACTCTCAACATGTCGATTTCGGGTTACTACAAGGAGCAGAATAAGGACTACTGTTAACGGATTTCGAGGGTCGCGGCTTAGGGTTCAGATCCGAAGGGCTTGGGGTTATAGGTTTGGGGTTCAGGGATTCGGGCTCAGGGTTTAGGCGGTCGCAAAGCCTTCCAAGACTGCGCAGACCTCAAGAGAAGCAGAGCAAATCTTTTCAGGGAGCACTGTGCGCAGTCCTTTCACTCAGGCTCTTACCCTAGAAGCCCTTTGGCCCTAAAGACTCGATCAATCTTACCTCTGAACCTTGAGCCCTAAAACCTTAACCCCGAAACCGTCAGCAGAATGCTGCTTTTGCAGGCTGTGAACCCTGAACCCTACAACCCCGAAACCGTCACCAGAATGCCGCTTTTGCAGGCTGTGAACCCTGAACCCTACAACCCCGAAACCGTCAGCAGACTGCCGTTTTTGCAGGCTGTGAACCCTGAACCCTAGAACCTTAACCCCGAAACCGTCAGCAGAATGCCGTTTTTGCAGGCTATGAACCCTGAACCCTACAACCCCGAAACCGTCACCACAATGCCGCTTTTGCAGGCTGTGAACCCTGAACCCTAGAACCTTAACCCCGAAACCGTCAGCGGACTGCCGTTTTTGCAGGCTGTGAACCCTGAACCCTGCAACCCCGAAACCGTCAGCAGAATCCCGTTTTTGCAGGCTGTGAACCCTGAACCCTAGAACCTTAACCCCGAAACCGTCAGCAGAATGCCGTTTTTGCAGGCTGTAAACCCTGAACCCTAGAACCTTAACCCCGAAACCGTCAGCAGCCATGACATTTTCGCAGGCCAAGGACTTACCTTTGGTTAGTAGGGAATGGAAGAATGGTAGTAATAGTAGTTATAATTGTACCCCATTCCTCCATGCCCTGCTAACCAAACATAAAGATCCCTTTAAGGAACCCTAAACCCTTATAGATCCCTTTAAAGGAACCCTATAGATCCCTTTAAAGGAGCCCTGTTCCCTACTAACCAAAGGTAAGAGGAAGCACCGATCGGCCTCGCCAGCCCGAAATCTGTCAACTTTGGCTGCATCGTCTGCGGCACCAGGATGTTTCCGGGCTTCCTGAGAGATGCCAAAGAGGCCAATATTGGAGAAGACCCTAGGGGACCCTAATATAGTACCCTAAATAGTAGGACCCTGATTATAAAGTACCCCTCATTTTCGGAAACTCCCATATTGAGGTCGAACTAAGTAGAAGCGGTATCGACTGTTAGGTGAGCTGAGTGACCGCTCGCAAAGTGAGCACGCATTAGTCGCAAACCCCCTCGCCCCACAAGACAGGGTTTCTGTGCGAAAAACAGTCTCATGCACCGATACCGCCTGCTAACCCAAAACCCTTTCCCGTATACAAGCCTTACTTAAAGGATCATGGGGCTTAGTATCTATGGTTATAAATAAGGCAACTATACTTATAATTGGCTATAACCCCAGTTAGGGTACTTATAACTGTGCTTACTAAGTCCCATGATCCTCCAAGTATACTAAACTTCCAGAACCCTAAACCCTAAACCCTAAACCCTTATTATGGACCGGGCTGGGACGTCTTCCATGGCCTATTTCAGCCTCAAGTTCTTTCTGCGTGGCTTTCCGACCGCGTTGCAATTGACAGGAGTTCGCTTCTGTCTACGAGCACAATGTAGGGGGCCTTCATAATTAGAATGGGGTTTGGGGGTGTATTCTTCTACAGTGATAATAAGGAGCCCCCGCAAGCCTATTCTAATTATTAAAGGCCCTACATTAATGACTCTTAGGCCAGACTAGAAGCTGTGCTGCCCTTCGACTTACAAACACCAGCTTGTCAACATGCGCAGCGAGCGACTCGTTCCGAGGAAGCCTATTCCGTGGTGAAGGCATCGAAGTTGGGAATTTCCGAAAATTGGGGTTATCTTATTTGGGGTCCTGAAAATGAGGGTCCTACTATTTAGGGTAATTAGGGTCTCCGATGTTCGGAAACTCCCAAGTCGGGAACTTGTTTGGCATCTCCGTTTTGCTGCGTGAAACGCAGGAGCAGGACAGACTTCACCCAAGCCGTCCCAACAAAAGTTCCCGGGCGAGAGACGACCCCAAGACCTGCTACCCAAAGACTCCCCCCGAACATGATTTAAGGTACATTCCATGACTAAGGGATTTTGGAGTCTCTAAGAAAGCCTCTCCCAGAGATTGCCCCAAGAGTTTCTTCCCCAACACACAGGATCCATCTGTTTAGTGCTTCATCAAACTCAGGAAACCGTTGTCTAGCAGGGATGGATGAACGATACTCGGGGGTTCATGGGACTTAGTAAGTACAGTTTTAAGTACCCTAACTGGGGTTATATCCAGTTCTAAGTATAGTTACCTTCTTTTTACAACCATGTTTACTACGTCCCATGAACCTTTAAGTATCCCCATTATGCGTGTATTGAGGTCTCATGGCTATTAGGGTCTGTGCTGAGCTTTCCGCTTATGAGGCATATGCAAGGTTATGGAGAGGCAAGTTTCAGGTCTCCGTGCATGATGGCCGGAGTCTGCAGATGAAGAAAACGAAGGGCTTTGCAGATGCGCAGCAAGAGGAGGCGCCCTGGGCTCAGGTCGTAGTTTAGTGCCTCTCATTGGGATTGTGGGCATCGTGGGTTTTCGGACAAGAGGTCCTTGATTTCTTCAGGTGAGAGGAACGTGGGAGTGAGGATGTCTTCGACCCCCCGCCCCTAAACCCTAAGGCTCCATAGTAGTTCCTTTTTGGGGCTCATATTTCGAATCTTGTGGGGCAATCCCAAAAAGGAACTTCTATGGGGCCTCTGGGTAAACCCTAAACCCAAAAATGAAAGCTGATGCACGGAACATGGCAAGAAAGCATCCAGGCTCTACTCTACTCTGGTACTACTTTCTCCATTCGGGTGGTTGTCAAAATTATGGTCCCTTCTTGGGTCCCTATTATAATACGGCACCTATTATTTAGGGTACCCAAAAAGGGACCCTAATTTTGACAACCACCCATTCTTGTCACTATACAGTTCTACTGTAAAATCCCCCCAAACCCTATTCCAAGTAGTTACGGCCCCTACTTGAAGCCAACAAAACCCTTTTCTGGCTATTCAGCACCCTGAAATACATTGAAGCTTGTAAAACCCGAAAGCTGAAAAGCACACTACGTCGGAGATCAGGATAGGCTGGTGCTCCCATGTCCCTGAAACCACACATGGAGTCCTGCTTGGAGGAGGAACAGGGGACTTGGTTAGTAAGGCTACAAGCACCTTAACTGATGTAATTGTGCCTGTTGGTAATTATACCTTATAGTTAGTTACATTGCTTATTTACAACTCTAGTTAGTCTAGTTGCTGAATATCAGAGTCCTTTAGGCAGTGCGGTGCTGTTCAGGTTTCAGGTGTTCAGTGTTGCCAGGGTGTTTAGGTTGTTGGTGGTTTTGCGGTTTAGGTTTTTAGGGCTTAGGGCTCGCAACCAAACTCATCGCAAATCGAGTGGGGTGAGGGCTGGGGCCGGGTGTGCCCTGAGAGGATCACAGAGGCGGAAGAAGAGAAACAGCAGCACAGCTGGCGAACGCGAGACAACAGGCTGCCACCGAGAGATTGATCCCTCCCAACCCTAAACCCTAAACCCTAAACCCATCCCAAAGCCCAATCAACTGCAGTAGGAGCAGCTCGCTTTGGTTCGTATTGGACTGGGTGGAGGTGTAATCAGCTCCGCGAGAGTGACTCCTGGCGCTGGATAGATGTTTAAAGTCTCCCAAGCTCAACCAAAATGTGGGGCTTTCGTTTTTGTGCCATGTCATGGACTACGGCTACGGCAAGAAGCATTCGAACATTTGAGGGCCTAGATTCGGGTCCCCCAGATGCCTCTCTCCTCTCTTTTCGACGGAACCTGAGGCCAAAGCTCAGGCCCTCTATCTTCCCACCCCCACAGGAACCCCGAACCCTAATGTAGGGGCCTTAATAATCAATTAGTTCTAGCATAATGCACCCCCAAACCCTATTCTAATTATTCAGGTCCCCTATAGTAGCATCCTTCGCCCAGATCCGTCTTGATCAGCAAACTTTCTCAGCGGCAGGGGCTCCTGGGACCGCCTCCTCCACGATCATCAGCTCTCCTCAGCGAGGTTGAGGCTTCAGGCTTCGGGCTGAAGGCACAGGGCCTTGTTTGGCGGCTTAGGGTTTTTTTTCCCTAAACGCTAAACCCTAAACCTTACCATGAGGCTGCGGGTCTAGGGCTTACGGGTTAGATGCATCGGGTTTAGGCTCCACGAATTTATGGCTCTCCGGCCGCATTGAGAGGCCAAGAAACCAGCAGCCATATCCGTGCGACCCCAAACGCCAAACTAGGGCCCCAAAAAGACACATAAGCATAAATAAGGATAGGGATGTCGCATATAAACCCCCTTATAATGAAGACCAAGAAGGTAGGGATATCCCTATAACATGCTTATGCTTATGTGCTTTTGGTGTCCCTAACAAATCCCAAACCCTCAACCCTAAACTGTAGCCAAGAAACCAGCGGCAATATCGATGCGTGCTCCATGAAACATGACCTCGGAGCGGTAGAGGTTGGGGTTTCGGGCGTGGGGCTGTCCGAGGTCTTGGCGGAAGTTCTATATGGGTGGTTGTCAAAACTAGGGTCCCCTTTTTGGGTACCCTAAATATTAGGTGCCGTACTATAATAGGGACCCAAAAAGGGACCATAATTCTGACAACCGCCCAATATGCTAGATTCATAGTTGCGAACCCTCAAGCAATTAGCTAAATAGTTGTATTTTTGAGAGAAGCGCACTGCATAGCAAGAACATCGTAAATATTCAAACCCCTGCTTTTGTTACGTGGTGTCGCCGGAGTCCTGACACGCTCCGAAGAGCGCTGTCCACGCTGCAACAGTTTAGGAATGGTTTTTGTTGGTGGAAGCCGGGGGGGAGAGGTGTGTCACAGTCTAGCGTCCTGGATTTCAATAGGCAGGGGTTTGGGTTTTTTCAAACACCAGAGAGTCTGGACTGCAAAGAAACGATGCAGCCTGCATCCCTGTACACATGTGTGCAGTGACATCCAGGGGCCAGTCTGCTGTCTCATGGATGCTGTGCAGAAACCCCAAAACAAAACGGAGGCCTGAATGACATGAATAGTCATTAGTGATCATGCTCCGGAGAGGAGTCATGGTGCTATAGGGGCTGTTTTGCTGGATTTGAGAAGGGATTTAGGATGGTTTAGCAAAATCTGCTATCATTCTCCGCTGTAGTTCCTCTAAGCAGCAGAATGTAATACAGCCTCCTTAAAGGAACGGTTACAGGTACCTCGAAAGCAACACGTCTCAAGAGATGAAGGCTCTTAGGCTGAACGCTCATAAGAATAAGAAGTAACTGCAAGGAATGATACGTATGACGCTCAACCTATTCGTTTTTAGTGATGAACCACCCCCATGTTGAACGGTCCCCGTAAGTATAAGAAGTAAGGAATGAGATGACCACTGATTCAAACGCTCAAACTACTCTTGGCCCTGCTGCAATGTTTGGATGCCGCAGCCGCCGGAAGATCCGTAGCTCCTTAGCACCCGACAGACGCATCTGTAAAGCTGAACTTAGCGCATAGGAAAGGGGCCTTAAGAATTGGAATAGGGTTCCTTTAAAGGGGGTCCGTAAGAGCTACTGTACTATAATGTAGAGGCCTAAACACTTAGAATAGGGTTTTGGGACATCCTTTATATTTACATACTATAATAACTAGAATAAGAGCCTCTCAGAATATTGCTTGCAATGAATCAGGCGCCAATATTAGGTGACAAGTAGCCGAACTTGAACAAGAAACGCCGGAACAACCTGCTCACTGTCGACGATACAATTAGCCTCTATTCGGGAACGTCTTCAAGCTAGAGATGTTTGTCCTATCCTTACCCTTTGCCCTAAACCCTAAACCCTAAGACTCAAGAGGGCCCTACAGTAAACCCTAAATCCCATCCTTACCCTTTGCCCTAAAACCCTAAACCCTAAATTCAAGAGGGCCCAAAATCCGACGCCACGGGTCGTTGACCAAGGAGTTGATTCCACGGAGCGCCTTCACCGACTTCGACATCCTCGTGCTTCGGCTCAGGGAGTTCTGCTTGGCACATTTTCTTCGAAGATCCCAGGGTTGTGTGGCGTTTGGGAAGATTTTCGGGTCGGAAAGGAACCACATTTTCGATCAAGGCTTGCTGACAGTTGCACGGGCAGATTCAAGCGACTCTAAGGACTCTCTAGGCCCTATAGGCAAGGCATCATGTGCGCTTCTGCTGGGAGTTGATGGAAGGCCGAGGGGGGGGTTGAGATTCTTGGGCTTGGGATTCCTTATTTAATATGAACCCTATTATGGGAACCTTAATCCCTACTAAACCCCCATAGGCTAAAACCCCTTGTGGCCTCCTATGAGGATTGCATGGGAGGAGCCGTGCTCCCGATGCGAAAATTTCGTCGCACCATCTGGACCGAAATGGGGGTGCGAATCGCTTCATAGTAATCGTAATAATTGCGGCAGTGCTGATAGTTAAAGGTTCATGGGACTTAGTAACTATGGTTGTAAATAAGGTAACTATACATATAAATGGATATAACCCCAGTTACGGTACTTATAACTAGTCCCATGAACCCCTAAGTAGTGATAGTAAGGCTAGTAGTAGTAACGGTAATAACAGTAGTAGTAGTAGTAGTAGTAGTAGTAGTAGTAGTAGTAGTAGTAGTAGTAGTAGTAGTAGTAGTAGTAGTAGTAGTAGTAGTAGTACAATTTTGCCTCAGCTCAAAACCTCGGATCCCCGCAGTGATCTGGACCTCAACACAACAAAACATGCCAAGCCTTGCACCCGAAAAAGGGCAAAACCGAAACCCCAAACCCTAAACTTTACACCCTAAATCCCAAATCCTGAACTTTAAACCCTAAGTCCCAAACCCGAAATCGTAAACCCCAAACCCTAAACTTTAAACCCTAAATCACAAACCCGAAACCCTAAACCCTAAAAGGGTCCGCATATCTTCCTAGCGGCTTTACAGCGACGGGCAAGCCGTGGAGGCGTCCGACGACGACCCTTCCGAAGCCTGACCGGATTGCGGGCGGTGGGTTGAAGTTTAGGGTTTTGGGGTTTAGGGTTTGGGGGTTTAGGGTTTTGAAGTTTAGGGCTTTTGGGGGTTTAGGTTCTGAGGGTTTTTTTTGGTTTGGGGTTCAGGGTTTTGGGGTTTCGGGTTTGGGGCTTAAGGTTTTGGGGTTCAGGTTTTGGGATTTAGGGTTTTGGGGTTTAGGGTTTTGGGGTTTAGGGTTGGGGGTTTAGGGCTTTGGGGCTTAGGGTTTGGGGTGTTTTTGAATGCTGTATGTATTTCTAAAATGTGTATTATGTATCATAGGGTCTAAGATAGGTTCAGCCTAGCAAGACTCGACAATGCCAGGGCTTCATGCTCAAACCCACCCCCCGGCTGGTAAGCAGCCTCACTCGTTAGCTACCGGACGCTTGAACACTCAGCCGCAACACCCCCAAAGTCCCTCCGCTAAAAGCCGTAAACCCTAAACCCTTAAACCCTAAAGCCTGGCCCCACCCAGGAATCCTCCCCGACCAAGCTCGTGTTTCTCAAAGACCTCGAGCTCGTGGGCCTCTCGGAAAAATCAAGCATTTTGTCTCTCGGGGGTTCAGAGAAAGTGAGCTCTTGCTGGGTTTAGGGTATAAGGGTTCTACCATGGGTTCTCCAAGGATTCGACAAGCGGTTCAGAGTTTTAGGGTTTAGGAGATTATGTTCGACTTATCGCCTTTGTCCGTCTGCGCTCCACAAAGTAGCTTCACTCAGAGGAGGGCTTTGGGTTTATATGGGGCTTCGAAACTTAGGTTTAGGTTTAGGGCGTAGGATTGTGCATTTGCTACTTCAGCCCTCGGCCATCTTCGTCTGATTGCCGCTGCGAGCATCCTGGACCCTCTTCTGGCATGAACTGCTGATCTCGTCACGCCCCAACCAGCTTCCGACGACCCCAAATTTAAAACCTTGGGCACCACCTGCTCGGGTCCCCTCCTGGCTTTATTTCGGGCTTAGTCCATTCACATCTATTCGGGTGTAAACTGTTGAAACCTGGACGGACCCCAAACGCAACACAGCACACACCACCACACGCCTACCTACCTACCTACCTACCAACCGACCTTGCGATTTATGGACGGATTCGCCGCATGCATCTATCGGCTTATGAGGGCATCGGATATACGCTCAGACTCGACAAGAAACATCGCAGGCTCATGTCTTGCAAACAGTGGTTCTGTGGAGCTGGAGCTATTATAGTGGTCGGCATAACTACGAGTACAAATACTGCTCCTTCTTCGCATGATGTACTCCCCAAAAACCCTATGCTAGCCATGAAGGCCCCATGCGATCTGGACACCGATTATTGTTGCTACTCTTACTGCTGTTACTATCATGTCATTAGTAATAATATCAATATGGGTGGTTTTCAAAATGATGGTCGACTTTTGGGTACCCTACATATTAGGTGCCGTACGATAATAGGGACCCAAAAACGGACCAGAATTTTGACAACCACCCATAGGACTATCGCATGAGGCAGCCCATTGCCTCGATAAGCCAGTGCTCCTTCTTGGCGATCCTGGCACAGCGGTTTAGGGTTTGGGGTTTAGTTTTTTTTGAATTCCCTTTTTCCGTCTGCAAATAGGTTTGCTACAGAAAGCCCAGATTGGGCAGGGGGGTTTAGGGTTTAGTTTGTACAGGGTTTAGGGTTTAGCGTTTAGGGCTCAAGTGTCGAGAAGTGGGGTTTAGGCTGTAGGCACCTGTTGAAGTGTGGTTAAATGAATAGGATCCTCCAGAACCAAATACATGAGACAGCGCAAACCGCAAAAGAAATCAAACAACTCTCCATATCCCCAACCCCGTATACCTTCAAAAGCCGGAAACCTTAAGGCGGCGTGGTTCCCCACTCCAAAGCCCCAGAAGTAAGGAATACGTTTGAACTATAGGCGATCCTCATTAATTTTGGTTTAAGGTGTCTTCCTAAAAAAATTTTGGAGCCGCTGGGGATCCCCGTTGACGGTCCTGATGCCCCAGGTTCCTACAAGAAGCCCCACACATAGAAAGGCCCTAAGGATTATACTGGAGGCGGGGACCTGCAATAAGAACGAACAGCCGGGGAGACCCCCACTCCACCCCAACAAGCAACCAATTCCAAACAGGTAGGCCGCTATACCAAACCTTGAAGCCTTGAACCCCATCAAGCAACTAAATTCAAATAGTTAGGCCGTTAGGCCCTATGCCAAACCTTGAAGCCCTAACTACGGAACCCCTCAGCGCCCTTGCAGCGCCCTTGACGCAAGAGGATGTTCCACACGTGTCGGAATACGAAAGCAAACCCGAAACTTCTGGGCCGACAACATGTCCCTCTAGGGAAACACCGGTTTAGGGATTAGGGTTTAGGGATTAGGGTTTTGGTTAGGGCTCAGGGCCGTTATACTGCGATATACTTAAGTAAGGGACCCATGGCGTCCCACTTGGTGTTTGGATCCTCAGCTGTTTGATGATTTGCCAAGCGACCCGGTCAGACAGGCCATCTTCTCATTCAAGGGCGCCGACTCCTTAAGCAGCGGTTGAGATTCCTCTTCGGGGCATTGGGTTCAAACGAAGGGTTTGGGGTTGAAGGTTGGGGTAGTTGCGGTTCAAGTTTAGTGCTTAAATGGTGCCTACGGTTTATCATTCAGGATTTGAAGTCTAGGGTGCGCGGTGTGGGGTTGAAGTTTTTATGGTGTGGGTTTTGATTTCCAAAAGAAACTCCGAAGCTCCGATGGTTCTTACTTAGGGGGTTTTGCAGTCGGGGAGATTCCGAAAATAGGGGACTCCAATATGGCACCCTAAATAGCAGGATCCATATTATAAGGACCCCAACATCAGGTACCCCTAATTTTCGGAAACTCCCGTCTGTCTCTGGGTTCAAGCCTCAGAGGTGGGTTTCTCGAAGGTAGCCGAATCTTTTAGGCTTGAAAACTTGATTGGGGGTTTGGGGTCTTGGCGTTTATGGAATACCAAAATTTCGCCCCACCTCACTAGAAGACGAGATGCCATCTGCTGCGTCACGGGGTTAAACACGAAGTTCATGTTGAAGACGTTGCTGGATGGGCAGCCCGAGCTCACGGCCTCAGAAGACAGGGACTGAGGCTCAAGCTTGAAAGTCAAAGCTACAGGGCTTCGGGCTTCGGGGTTTAGGGCTGGTTTAATTTTTGTTGAGGGCTTAGCGGCTAAGGGGTTTAGGGATTTAAGGGTTTAAGGGTTTCGGGGCTTCTCGTGTTCATAAGCACCTTGACATCACGTGAGCAAGGTCCCGGGATCTGTCTCTGAACGGCATGCAAGCTTGATAGGGGCCCAAAAAAGACATAAGCAAAAATGAAGATAGGATAGGGCTTTCCCGTATACACCCCCTTACAATGAAGCCCAAGAAGGTATGGGTATCCTCATAACATGCTTATGCTTATGTCCTTCTGGGGTCCCTAGCTTGAAGCACCCAAAAGCTTGGAAGTGCCGTATCAGCTGTGTAGTGTATTGCGCGCCACCGGCAGTTCAAGCAAGTCAGAACTAATTACCCATCCAATTTGAAGGCTCCTTCTTGTAATAATCGCATAATTCCCAAACCCTGTTCTAATTATCGAGGTCCCCATAGCATAAACCCAAAAGCCTATTCTAATTATTGAGGTCCCTCTATTACGCTGCTCCCCACGGTCGGATCCATGACACGAAGGCTTCGGGCTTTGCGGTCGAGAGGCGGGGTCGGAGCTGCCTGACATGTGCTCGATACCTTGGGGGGGTTCCTTATTATATAGTTATAGAAATAACTGTACAATAGGTTCCTTTTCTATATACCTTCCAGTCGGATTTCAGTCAGTTTTCTTTAAATGCAATGCCCTTTTCCTTGCGTCCAAGGGTTCGCCTCGGTTTCAGTGAGTTTAGGGTTTCAGGCTTAGGGGGGTTCCTTTCAGAGAGGTGTCACGAGTGGGTTTTTTCGAACTCGAATCTTTGAGAGTTTGAACGTAGTACATGTTGGACGGGATTCGAGAGTTTGAAAGTTTGAAAAGTTTGGAGAATGAAGAGTTTGAAGTTTGAAAGTTTGAGAGTTTCGAGTTCGAAAGCTGGCGCGAGTTTGGAGCTTGAAAATTTGAAACCCAGGAAATTTGAAAGTTTGAAGCTTCGAAGATTGAAAGTTCGAAAGTTTGAAAAGGAGAAGGACCGCTGGAGACGCGTAGGGGTTCACAAAGCAGCCCTCAGGCTCGAGTTCGAAAGTTTGAGAGCTTGGAGTTTGACAGTTTGAAACCCAGGAAGTTTGAAAGTTCGAAAGCTTCGAAGACTGAAATATCGAAAATTTCAATCTTTGGGGGGTTGAAGGTTTGAAGTTTTCAAATTTCGAAAGTTTGAAAGTTTGAGAGCCGTGGAGTTCGAAAGTTTGAGATGCTCAAAGTTTGAGAGTTTGGGAGTTTGAAGGTTTGTAAGTTTGAAGAGTTTGAAGTTTGAATACATTGAAAGTTTGAGTTTGAAACCATGTTGACGTCCTCATCTTAGGGTCTGGGCCCGGTAACTCCGAGTCCGATTCAATAGCCCGGGACCCCCCCGGGCGAACGGGTAGTCCTGGATTTAGGAAGAGGATGAGGGGGGGGGGGGGTGGGCCTGCAGTCCTGGATTTAGGAAGACTATGAAGGGGGGGGTGTTGTTCTGGATTTAGGAAGACCATGGGGGGGCGGGGGGGGGCGGCTTGGAGTCTTCGGGGAACCCCACCGCTCTGTTTAGACTGCAAACGCCCCGCTCTGCTAAGCCGCGAAAAAAATTAATGAAAGCGTCTCCCACTTCATACTTCACCAAAAACCAGGATTACGACCCCCCCCCAACCTCATACTTCGTCCAAAACCAAGACTTCGAGCCTCCCCCTTCCCCTTACAGTCTTCCTACAACCAAGATGTTAAGCCCCCCTTTCTCCAACACACGCAAAGGAGAAAGCAACACGAGAACGCTTCAGGGGGTTAAACGCGAAGAATTAAAATTCATCATGAGTGATTCAGAAGCTGTGCAAATGGGGGTGCTTTCTTAAGATCCCCCTCCCCTGATACGTCGTCCAAATCTAAGACGTCGAGGCGTCCCCTTACAGTCTCCCTGAATCAATGACTTTAAGCCCCACCTTTCTCCAGCACACACAAAGGAGAAAGCAACACAAAAATGCTTCAGGGGGCTAAACGCGAAGAACAAAACTTAAGCATGAATGATTTGGAAGCTCTGCAAGGGGGCTGCGCCCCCCCAACCCCCTTCTTGTTTTGGACTGCAAACTCCCTGCTCTGTTAAGCCGCAAAAAAATAAAAAAGTAACCCCCTTCATACATCACCAAAAACCAGATTACGAGCCCCGCCCCCTCATACTTGGTTCAAATCCAAGACTCGAGCCCCCCCCAGTCTCCAACACACACAAGGGAGAAAGCACACGAAAACGCTTCAGGTGGATTAGAAGCGAAGAAGATATCATGAATCATGAGTGATTTTGAACCTCTGCAGATGAGGGGGGGGGGGCTGCGCCCCCCAACCCCCCCTCGCTTATTTTAGACTGCAAGCGTACTTCACCCAAAACCCCCCTTCTTTCATGAATGATATGGAAGCTCTGCAAATGGGGGGGGGCTGCGCCCCCCCCCCAACCCCCCGCTGTTTTTAGACTGCAAACTCCCCGCTCTCTTAAGCCGCGTTTTCTCCAACACACACAAACGAAAAAACAAAAAAAAAAACAGACGAAAACGCTTCAGGAGGGTTAAAAACGAAGAAAAGAGCATTATGATCATGAGTGATTTGGAAGGTGATTTGGAGGACTAGGTACTTCACCCAACCCCAGTGATTTGGAGGACTACATACTTCACCCAACCCCCTCTCTCATACTTCGCCCAGATCCAACACTACAAAGCCCCCCCTATCATATTTCACCCATGAGCCCCTCGCCACCCCCCGACTAGTACCACTAGTCGCCGGGAAAAGTCTTCTCCAAGACACACAAAGGAGAAAGCCACACGAAAACGCATCAGGGGGGTTAAAAGCGAAAATAATATTCATGTTGGGTGGTCCGGAAGCTTTGCAAATGGAGGGGGAGGGGGGCAAACTCCCCTTTTTTTTTAAGCAGCGAAGAAATGAACCAAAACGTCCTTTGGGCGTGCTTGAGATATACCGTGAACTAGAATCGCCAAAAGAGAAGGCGTGTGTAAGATGTAAAATTAACCGAAAGCGCCAAATGAGTAAGCGTAATACGACAAATACGATGACCCGGAAAGGCTAAATGAGATCGCCAACTCAAGGGGTGCGATTAAGTTACACGGTGTGCTGGAATCGCCCAATGGGAGCGTAATAAAGATATGTGGTGAGGGGCTATGATGACCGGAATCGCAAAATGAGGGCGCAGTGAACCGGAATCGCCAACAGAGAAGGCGTGTTTGTTCCAGATACTTAATTGGGGTTGCGAACGCCACCCATATACGTGACTGCATGTCGAGCGCTTCAAACTCTGAAACTATTCAAACTCGAACTTTCAATCTGTCAAACTCTCGAACTTTCAAGCTCGAAACTCGGCGGACTTTCAAACTTTCCATCTCGACGCACTTCAAACCTTCAAACTTTGCAAACTTTCAATCTTTCGAACTCTCAAACTCGCGAACGTTCATCCCTTTCAAACTTTCGATCTCTGAAACTTTCAAACCTTCGAACTTGAAACCTTTCGAAGTTTGAAACCTTCGAACTTTCAAACTCGTCACCTCAGCCCAAGCCGAAGAGGAAATCTGAAGCCAATCTGAAGCCAACCTTTCAAACTCCGAACTTTCGAACTTTCATTCTTTCGAACTTTCGAGCTTTCAAACTTTCGAACTTTCGAACTTTCAAAGTTTGAAACCGTCGAACCTTCGAATTTGCAAACTTTCAAAGTCTCGAACTCTCAAACTTCGAAGGCCGATCGAACTCGCCCGCGGGAAAAGTTTGAAGTTTGAGTTTCAAGCAGCCAGTCGAGCTCGAAAGTTCGAGAGTTTGAAAGTTTGAAAGTTTGAAAATTTCGAGTTTGAAAAGTTCGAAGTTTTACGCCGGCTAGCTTGTGCACACCAAGGTGCACAAACTTTCGAACTCCTGCACTTTTCGAACCTTCAAACCTTCAAAGTTTGAAACTTTCAAACTTCAACCTCCAAACCTTCAAACTTCAAACTTTCAAACCTTCGAGTTCGAACGACCTCGCTCGGGACACCATTCTTCCTTTCAGAGTTCCTACAACAGGTCCTTTAAGGGTTCCTTTCAGAGCCCCTAAAAGAGTTCTGCTAATGGTTCCTATAAAGAGTACTGGAAGGGGTACCATAGAGGGCCCTCAAAATTGCGACCGACCAGTGTCTCAGTAATCCGACCATACGTGTGCGTCACTTGCATCGGCAGCTGCCGCGCAAGGATGCAGGGCTGCGTTGAAGTTTCCAGCAACAGTGGCGGATTGCAAAAAGGAGCGGTCACTCGAGCTGATTCCGAACCGAGATTTAGAGTTCAGCCTCCCGTACACCACTTTCAACGTCAAGGCTCCAGTCACCCTCAACTCTCAAACCTACTTGTCAGGTATCATGGGAAACTAAAGGTTAGCCTTTTTGGATATATATAGGGATCATATAGTTATAGGGACTATACTACCCCAAAAAGGTTAAAGGTTGCCTGCTTTACTACTAGGCAAAACACAAAACCTAAAGCCCCGACAGCCCGCAAAACAAAGGCCAGGAACTCGTGGTGGAGTCTCGGCTGCCTTGGGGAGAAAGCGGGTTTCTTGAAACTTGCGAAGCGTTTATCAGGATTCTATGGAGAGTCTACAATGGGGATGCTAGGGTTTAGGGTTATGGAGGTTGCTTTTTGGGTCTCGGGGTGCCTTGCTTAGGGTTGATTTGGTTGTGTCTGGCGTTCGCCCTGTTGCAAGACATCCTACTTCTTATAGGGTATATGTGAGGCGTTAAGGGTTTCGAACTATTGTCTAGATTGAAACTCCAAGATGCAAGGTGTGGGGTCGTTGTTTCTGCATTTGCACTTTCGTTGCAATTTTGGTTTTGTCGCAGTCCTTTTGGGGGGCCCCAGCTCCACAGAAAATGCAAAGAGAGAGAGAGATAGAGAGAGAGTGAGAGAGAGCTAACCACCAAATCTAAAGCCCGAAACCAATACATGCAAAACGACACAAAACCCAAACACAAGCAATCCCCAACTGCTAAGAATGCAATACAAATGCAAACTAACCAGTTGTTCGATGTGTGCATAATCTCTGACCCAAAAAATAACCCTGGAGTTAGTGCTTGGGGTATACGGTATACGGAGAATCCTGGTTTCGGGCCTGTTTCAGGTGTGGGCCTTCATATTGCGAGTGGTGGAGAGTGGTGTTTTGGGATAAAGTGTCGCGCCCAAAGACTCCAAAACTCCTTAAGCCGTGAATCCCTCTTGAATTTCACGGGGATCCATTAAAAGGAATACACCTGGGGGGATCCCTATCATAGATAAGGGGATGTTTGAAGGTATACTCCTTAGTTAAGGGGTTTGGGAGTGGTCCGGGCCTTTTCTAACATCTTCAAGTCTTCCAAGGGATGTGCCGTCACGGGATTTCTTGAACTCGGAAAGATCTCATCAAAGTCCAATCAAGACAGAATGGTACAACTCTACAGACATGTATTGGGTACGGCCCCCACTCAGTAATAGTTGAATATGATTCATAACATAGATATATTAGGACGTTAATAGTAGTCCTATTATAAACTCTTACTGTATGGGGGCACTACCTAAGACATGTACCATAACCCTTTCGGTTGAACACTCCTTCAAATTCCATGAGGATGTTTCAAGCGTTCTGCTGCCCAGAAGCTGCGAATGTTACAGGACACACAGGACATCTCTGCAGCTTCGTGCCCTCGCACGCGCATCACCTGTCTGGTGTAGAGCTCCTTGCGCCGGGGACACAGGCCGGAGCGACGTATAAAATCACATTAACTGTGACCATGATGATAACAGTAGTGATTCTCATCATTGTCCTTGTTCTTACCACTGTTCTCATCAACATTATCATGACGCTTACGAGCATTACCACCGAGCATTTTGGATCTTGTGTGGCATTGGAAGCTCTCCGTCGATGCTTCGACAAGGGTCGTTGCTCGGGCCTGTCTGCCGAAACGGCTGCATCCATCTGCGGTGCAGCAAATGCACTGCCCCAACCAATGCTCTGTTTTGCCATCATCTCATGTCATACCGCATTATACCATATCATACCATATATTTATATATTATTAGACTACATTACGCGCTGTATTTCTTCGAGGCTTTGGCTCTGGGGTCCCAGAGTTCATGATCGACCCCTGATCAGCGGGTCCCGCTGCTGCAGCATCAGCTTGGCGAAACTCGTTCGATCTGCAATCCTTAACAAGGCGGATACGGTTTAGGGTTTAAGGCTTAGGATTTAGGGTTTCGTTTTAGGGTTCCGGTTTAGGGTGTAGGGCTTAGGGCTTGGGGTTTCGGAGCTTGGGAAGCTGGCAAGATGGATCATACCCTTCTCGCATTGAGTGAGATGCTTGGCATGTACAGCTGGAAGTCTTTGGATTGACCACGGGACTGCACTTCTCGGTTTGCTGGGATCTCATTAACACCCACCACGGATTGGAGGCAGCCGTCAAGCTGCCAAACCCTTAACTTGGGGTTTCGGGAATATGGTTCAGGGTTGTAGCGGTTGCGAGTTTATGTTGTGTCTTCTTTAAGCCGTTTTGCTTTGCGACTGCGGTTTCTGTGTTTAGGGATTAGTAAAATCAACCCAACTTCGAAGCCATGCTGCTCCGACTGGCTCTTGGCTGCCAGCGCCTCGCGGATCAGATCGTGGTTGCCAAGTGTGTAACTGAAAAAGGATTTTTTTTGTCGCTCCTTTTCTCCAGCAACTACGGAAAAAGGAGGGCTTAGGGTTTAGGACGTGCCGATTCTCGAAACTGAGTCTCAAGGATCCGAGCGTCAAAAGCCAAATGTTAGGCTGAGAAGTCGCGGAAGCGCAAGCTGAGAGCCGGGCCATCAAGCACTGGAGCAGCAGCCCAACCGCCACGACGAGCCTGGAGACTAGAAACATTAGGGCTAAGGGTTTAGGGTTGTGCGAATGTATGTATGTATGTATGTATGTAGCCTATTCTGCCATAATTCTAATACGGTCAAAAAAGTATAGGTATAGGCAATTATTCGGGCCCCTATAGTATGCATGGTTTCAGCAAGCTTCACGCTACTGAAGAGGAACTGCCCCCAGGTACGGCTTTAAATCCCTGCAACCAAGCTTAAGACTGTAGTATTTAAAGCTACCCCCCGGGCCTAGCACTCTCTTTGGGGCGGGGGTTTCTTGTGGAAAGGTGTGGACCCCGGGCGGCGGCACTAAGGGCTCTTGCCCGATGAGCACCCCCTTTCCCCGCCTCCCCTGTGCTAGGGCGACAGTGCCCTCGAGTATTCTGGCTCAACTGCTGTTGCAACTGATCCGGCGATGCCGACGTCTCCACCCATCATGGGCCTGAGGACATTCAGTGTATATGTGAGGTATTCCACGCTCATCATATGCATTAGCAACTCCCTGGATTGCTACCTTTGTTATCGGCCTTGTTCCAGGGCTGCGCCTCTGTGCTGTTCATTGCCGCGGTGGTGTGCATGTTCATTTACTGTACCTGATTGGTGGCGTGCTTGCCCTCGGTGCTGGAACAGTGTTCCCTCGGCACATGGCGCACGCCTTTGGGTCGCCTTGTGTGTGCCCTCTGTGCATGGAGCCTCGCTCCCTCGGCACTGGCCGCACGGTTCGCCCCCTTTCAACTCTTTGCGTCTGCTGCCGGTTACTTGGTGTGTTCTTTGGTGCATACAAGCATAAGTATTATCGGTTGGTGACGTCTGGCTTGGCCTCCTGCCTGCTTTATCCCTGATCAAGGACTATGCCTCTCCGATTCTTGGGTTTGAAACATGTAGCTTAGTATTCTACACTGTGACCTGTCTGCACTAGCTAGTTTTTCCCCCACTTGAACTCTGGGACGGAGGGAGGCGATGACGCTTGCGGAGCCCCCCTGAGATGTTGAGAGGGACGTGGGAGGTAGGCCGCACCGTAAGTGCTGGTCGACACTCACTCACTCACTCACTCACTAGTATTTAAAGATTGACTACTTGGAGGATCAGGGGACTAAGTAAGTACAGTTATAAGAACCTCAATTTGGGTTATAAGTATAGTTAGCCTAGTTAGGACCCTAGTTACGAAGTCCCATGATCCTTTAAGTAGGGTTCATGGTACAGGTTCGGTTTACTGTAGGGTTCAGGGTTTAGGGTTCTAGACCGACAGGGTTGTGGGTGAAGCCTAGTTGCTAGGGATTCGGTGCACTGCCCAACCTTCAAAACTCCAGGGAGAACTAGACCTGCAACAGGGTGGTTGTCAATCTTAGGGTCCCTTTTTGGGTCCTTATTGTAATACGGCGCCTAATATTTAGGGTACCCGAAAAGGGACCATAATTTTGACAACCACCCAACATCAGAGCCGAAAGCAGAGTCCTGACCCCAACGGGGCTGAGCAGTTTGCCACCTAGAGTAGGTGTGGGGGGTATACCATAACGATTTGAGCATAATCAAAATATGTAAACGGAAGTATAAGCGGATACTATTGCATAGTAGTTGTTCCGTTATCCTGGCATTCAACCCTAAACCCGAACCTAAACCCTAAAACCCTAAACGGCATTCAACCCTAAACCCGAACCTCAGCCCTAAAACCCTAAACTAAACTCCTGAACCCTAAACCCTAAAACCCTCACCTCTCTCACAGACACTTTCCGCGGCCTCGCTTCCTAACGCGCTAGCCGCTAGCCGAGCCCAGTTCACTCTGAGCCCCAAAATAGGCCCCAAGCCCTTCAACACCCAAAGGCCGCCGAACCCTGTAGAAGCCAGAAAGTTGGATCATCAATGTCCTTATGCCCTTAAGGTAGGGTATAGGGGATCCCAGCACAAATCATCCTAAATCCATGTTCCAACTTAATGAGGTTGACTATAGACCGCACGGCTCTCTGACTCCAATTTCTAATAACTGGGTATGCAATAACTGTAATCATTAGACCACACCAGCAAGGTATATTAAACCAATAAACCCTAAACCCTGCACCCAAAGGTATTTCATGGGGGGTTCCGGGTTCAGAGGTTTTGGATTGAAGGTGAGAGCACAGCAACTCCAGCTAAGTCCTCCAAAAGCACGCTACATCTGCCAGCCTATTGCTCATGGACTGCTCCGGGACATCTGCAGGAAGAGGCAAGCTCAGTGCCAGGTAGCCTTGGGCGTACGCTTCAGGGTTTGGGATTCAGGCTTGCTCAGAGTTCTGCAGCCTTTGATTATCCAAATATCCGTTCTGACTATGGACGGCTGCAACAAGTGAATGCAAGGCTGTTCCTGCTGAACCGTCTGAACCTACTGACAGAGCGACAAAGCTCGCGCTGGTTGTTACTGCAAGCGACAATCTTGATGCTCAACCAATATGTTCCATGTGTGCGAACAGGTTGAAAACCGTGACGGTTACTATCATCATCCTGATGACGCGAATAACTCGAACCTGCTGAGAAGCAACATACACACACACACATTGGAATCTCTCTTCTTGTAAGGGAAATTATAGCGACAGATTGCATAGGCTAAATGACCAACCTATGACGCATATCGTGTCAGTGGCACAGGCTATAAGTTAACTCGGTGCCCTGTGCCGGGGGAACGCGTGCTCGAAACGCGACCCCAGCAGTCCTGGACTTTAGACTTGGTTGGTACAGTATATATACAGGGTACGGACCCCATACAGTAACAGTCTATAATGGGGCTACTATTAAGGGCCTATTATATATCTATATTATGAATATTATCCAACTGTTAGTGAGTGGGGGCCGTACCCAAGGTATAAACACCCACGACGACTGTGGGATGAATGGACCCACCAACAAGGATCTCGAATCTTCGGAATCCCCCATGTTAGCTGCGTTCGGCATATCCGTTGCCCATAACAACGTGCAGAAACCCCCAACCATACATAAATTGGCTCTAAGCCCCTAAGCTTGACCTAAATACTAAACCCGAAAAGCTCAACCCCTAAACCCTAAACCAGAGCCGCCGGGCGGCAGCCGGGGATCCACAAGATCATCGGCAGCACCATGCGACAACGCAGCGGCAGCCTTGGCGTAAGGCAATCTTACGGCCCTGACTACCCTAAGGCCCCAAAGTAGTTCCTTTTGGGGGCTCGTACAAAGAATCCTATTAGGTAATCCCCAAAAGGAACTACTTTGGGGCCTATGGGTAGTAAGACTATGACTAGCAACCCTCAGGAACACTATGATAAGATATTCCGACCCCTATAGAACTCTTCATTCACGGTGGCAATTGCTCGGCTCTTAGCAGTGTCTAGCCTCCCACACTCTTCGGAATTTCACATTCAGGTTGGGCTTCAAGATTCGAAACATGAACGGTTTAGGGTATAGGATGTGGGGCGTAAGGCTTAAATTGGGTACTGCCATCAAGTACTGAAAGGGAGCCGGGGTTTAGGGCTTTGCATTTTAACCTCCGTAAAGTTGGGCCCAATTAAGATAGGGATATTCCAGCCAAGAAAGAGTGCCTAAGTCAGTAGAATTGGGTTTTGGGGTACACCACCGTGCATCTACGCAAGGACTACGAGGGGAGACGGTGGCAAGGTGCTGGGATCCGTGCAACTAGTAGAGCTTGCATCCTGTAATTGCGACAGAATGCAGCATTGCCCGAAGCCCCAAAGCTCATGGAGTCGGAGGCACAATGAGAAGACGCCGATGACGAAAAGGCCGCAGAACACGATAACGCTGCCTCGGAGGGTACTGCATCAAACGCTAAGGCTTCAGCCTGGCGTGGAACCAACTTCAAAACCGTTTACAAAATCTGATGTCAGAAGCCCCGCGCGAACAGCCAGAGCCCAATACAATTGAAATAGGGGATATACCGATGTACGGATAGACCTTAACAAGTAATGGGATCCAGCATGTTTAAGGCAAGGTAAGTATACTGGATTCCGTTAGGTAGTCTTGGTCCGTGAGGTCCCGGGCATCAGTCGGGCTAGGTCCAGGGTGGAACAGTTCAAACTGGGCTGGGTCTCAAGGCAGAAAACGCAGGTTGAAGCCGGAAGGTCTTGATGGAGGTCGCCGATGCTTGCTGATATTGAGGTTCTGAGGCTGGTGTGGCTCCGAGGTTGCTCGTATGCATGAGGGTGATGGTGATTGTGACAGTGAGGTGATGGTGCGGATGGGTGTGGTGATGTGCAAAATGCGACGACGGCCGAGGATGAGGAGGAGGAGGATGAGGCGAGGAAGGACAAGGAGCACGAGAGAAGAGGAGTTCACTATCATGATGCCGATGCTGCTGATGATGATGATGATGCACGGGCTAGTTTGAGAGAAAATTTTGGCCTTCCCGCAGCTTCCCTTTTTGAAGATATATAAGAGAGGGGCCTTAATAGTCAGAAGAGGGCTTTGGGGCCCACTATTCTATTTCAGGAACCCCCAAAAAATAGTATACAGAATCATTAAGGCCCCTATAGTATCCGTTGAAGGTACTGGCACGGTCAAGGCTCTTGCAACGCTAAACACCACTGAAGGTTCCTGCCGCAAAGGAAGCAAACGGAAGCCCACATAATCGAAATAGGGCTTTGCGGTCCCCATTCGGGTATAAGTACATATGGATTACTTGTAGGGACTACTATAAAGAGATATTCTCGCTGATTTTTCCGACCACAATCCTGCAAATCTCGTACTGTTCCATCTCAGGAGCTATCTGAGTCTTCGATGCTGACAGGGGTCACCTGCACACAAGGCGTCCACATGCAACATGTGCGATTGAACCGCAAACCCCTAAAGCTTCAACCCTGACTGCACCCTCTAAGTCCAAACCCGAAGCCCTGAACCCCGAAGTTGTAAACCCAACATTGAATCATCTTTCGCTTCCAACCGATATTGACGAGTCTAATATGAGTGCCTGAACAGTTAGACGATTTGGAACATGTCATACCATTGTTTTTGTGATGTTTCAAGGCAACGCGAAAGGAACCAGGCATTCGGTTCGAAACATCCGAAACGGTGCAAGCAGAGCCTCACTGACTGGCACATCCAAGAAGAATGCAAGGCGGGCCGGGGACACTGAGACATACCTGGGTAGTTCTTTCAATTAGGCCTTTTGAGGTCGGTTTTATGAGGGTGCCGTGCTATTTTGGGCACCCCAAAAATGACCTAAATTTAGTGAACTACCCACCTAGAGCTTGGAACTTGTGGAGGGTTCGGGGTCTGGGGTTTTAGACGGAGTCACAACGAGTTTTGTCGGGGCTCTATATGCCTCCAGCTTCTAGAAAGGTTCCGTATAAGGGCATCATATACTGTAGTGGCTTCGGGTTCTATAAGGGTTCCATATGGGAGTTTCCGAAAATAGGGGACCCTAACATAGTACCCTAAATTCTAGGACCCTTATTACTAGGACACCAAAATAAGGTACCCCTAATTTCCGGAAACTCCCATATGGCCTCGGTCGACATTCTTGAGTAATAGCGCTTCGAAGACCCTGTGTTGAATGAAAGTGTATCCGGAACTGTGAGGATATTGCAGGATGCCATGAGAACTGGCTGGATCCCATGTGGGAGTTTCCGAAAATGGGGGACCCTCCTATGGTACCCGAAATAGTAGCATCCTTATTGTAAGGATCCCAAAATAAAGTACCCTAATTGTCGGAAACTCCCATGTGTTAACACACCCACCCAGACCGGCTTCAGGAAGACAGATAGCCCCCTGTACACTGGCCTACCCTAAGGCCCCACAGGAGCTCCGTTTTGGGGTTCACATTCAGAATCTTATGAGGCGATCCCAAGAAGGAACTACTATGGGGCCTCTGGGTAAAGAAGGCACTTGAAGCGACCTCTCTGTTCTTACGGCACCTGAGCAAAGGACAACCCTGAACACACACACCTGCCTAAAACCCGCTAGGCTCTACTTAGAGGATCATGGAACTTACTAAGTAGGGTTATAAGTACCTTAATTGGGGTTATAAGTCATTATAACTGTGGTTACATAATAAGTAGGCACCCCTAGAAAGTTGCAAGGCTTCGGTTTTCTGCCCTTCCCGGGCTCAGGGCGCGGGCTCCCATAACTGTCCGGGCGGCGCAGCTTGGGAAAGTGCCAGGCAGCAGACTAGAACGACGTCCTGCTCACGGATACCCGACAGCACGAAGGAGGGTTGGGGCTTTCAATCTGCACATGCCCTGACCTGGGGAGCTTTGTAGTTCTAAGCGACCACGAGGAACGCTGGCCTCCCTGCAACTCTTGCGGTGTTCGAGAAACTAATCACCACAAAGAAAACCCTCCGCTCCTCTAGTTTCGCAGATGCGCGTTTGGAAGGCTTAAGGAACTCAAACCTACATTACCGTCTTGGGCATATACAGTAAGCACCTTCTAATATTAACTCACGCTAGCGCTCCATCCTGGCTTGGGACTTATCGGGTTTACGGCCGCTGTTCGTGGTTTAGGCTTTAGGGAATCTCGGTTGATGTGGGCATGCACGAAGGCTGCAGATCGAGAAACAGCTAGTTTAGGGTTTGGGGTTGAGGGTTAAACGATCCGGGCCGGGCCTTCCAGCATCGCGCCAGCCCTGGGCGGCAGAGCAGGCGACACACACCGAATTCCCTATATAATAGTATATTATGGTATATGAGAGTATAGTATTGTTTAGTATATGGTATATCGTATATAACATATGCTTTATGGTATATAGTATCAAATAGTACATAGTATATACTATATCGCAAATAGTATATACAGTATATAGCAAACAGCTTACAGTATACAGTATCTAGTACATAGTGTCGTAGCATGATATGGGATGATGATAATAGGCACACCCACGCCCCAAGATACACCTTCTGAGCCTTGAAAGCACTTGCAAAGAGTCGGACAACCGGCAAAAGAACATTAGCCGTGCACGAGGGTCCGCATCTTCGAAATCTCGACGACGGGGATCTAAAGAAGGGAACAAGATGTTAGGGGAGCCACACCCCACCCTAAGGCCCCATACTAGTTCCTTTGTGGGGTTCTTATTTTGCATCTTATGAAGTAACCCCAAAAAGGAACTACTATGGGGCCTCTGGGTAAACCCTAAACCCTATAGTTTCAGTCGAGGGACTATAGCTGTCTACTTCAAACTACAGTCCAATATCCCTTAATTCAGGAAAATACCTTAAATTATAGTAGGATCCCTAATTTGATTTTTAAGGTATATTCCCTAATCGGATGTTGGAGTCTCTGAGTTCGGTCTCAAAAGGCCACACAACGGCCCCTTCGGGGCCTCGAAAGACGCTCACGCCCCTCCTGACGCCTGAAACTCGTCAGGAAACCCGACTTAGACGAGGAGCTTGAAGAGCAATGGAACTTGTTTCACAGACACATGTCGGTAAATATAGACGTCCGAGCATATTTTGCAATTTCATAGTACCACCTCATGATCCCCATACAACTATCTGCAGTTTACATCCACGGCTCAAGAAGACCCCTTCAGGCTGGAAAGTGCTGTGTCGACTGAATTGCTGCTCAAGTGCGTGTGAAGAGAAGCCGGACGAGAATCAGCAGCAGTGGAGGGGAGATGTAGTTGGTCACCTTAGAGTTCCGGCTGATATAGGGGCCTTAATAATTGCAATAGGGTTTCGGGGCCCATTTTACTACAAGTATACAAAAACCACCGAAATAAGATTGGAAATTATTGGGGACCCTATATTACTGCTGGCAGCATCGAGCTAGCGTTCAGCTCCGAGCCTATTGGGATTTCGGAAACCTCTGTGCGCGGTGCCTTGGAATTTAGGACCCTGCCGTATGTCGAGGGCCAGACTGCCTCTTACTCTCAGGCCCTTAGACGTAGTTGGGCCTCGACATACGACAGCCGACATGTACAAACTCCACCACTGTAAGGCTTCAGCTTAGGATGTGTAAGAGTACCTTTGGGGGTCGAGCTACAGATTGTCCGGGCTTGGCTCCCCTGGCCGTACGAGCTTCGCATTGTGGGTTCCGACTTGGGGGTCAGGGGTTGAGGACTTGGGGCTTAGGATCTGCACTTGCCAATTCGGATTCGGCGGGTTTCATGGCTTAGGGTTTGAATGGTGCAGGACTGGCAGGGCCTTGCGGGATCAGCTTAGATTGCAGGGTTTACTCAGCTGCTGCTGCTGCTGATGATGCTGATGTCGATTCGTGACGATGTGGATGATACGATGATGATGAGGATGAAGAGGAGGAGGAGGAGGAGGAGGAGGAGGAGGAGGGTCATGCTGACAACAATGATGCTGACAATGAAGATAAGGATGATAATTATCATGACGACGAGGATCGCGATGATGATGACGATGATGATGAGGATGAAGAGGAGAAGGTTCATGCTGACAAAAATGATGATGACGATGAAGGTACAGATGTGACGACGACGGTGATGCTGGTGGTGATGATGACGACGGATAGGCCGTCAAGGCGTACCAGGATAAGGATGAAACAATGCAGGTTCGATGACGATGACGACGAGGATGAGCAGGATAAGTACGAGGAATTTCGATTTCGCTTCGCAATTGCGACTGTTGTTCCATCCCGAACGCGGCTCTATCAGAGTCAATCGTTCATTTCGGGGCCTTCGCAAGTAAAATCGGGGCTTGGTCGACATCATAACTATTACACTTATATGAGGACTATCCTGGTATTCTACCTGTATCACTAATATATATATATATATATATATATACGTACATACATACATACATATATGTATATATATATAATATAAAATAAAATATAAAATATAAAATATAAAATATAACATATAATATATAACATGTAACTGTATAATATATAATATATAATATATAATATATAACATATAATATAAAATATATAAGATGATATAACACTAACTTCAGGCAAGCTGCAAAATAAAGGAAGAACGTGGAGGAAGACTTGCGGAACACCGCCAGGGGCCAGGCGACTCCCTGTGAAGGCAGGCTCAGGGACAGCAGTTGGCTTTTAGGGTTTAGGGGGTTAGGGGGATTAGGGTTTGGGGGTTTGGGGTTTAGGGATTTAGGGTTTAGGGGTTTAGGGTTTCGGATCTGGGCGTGAAGTTTAAGGCTTAAGGCTTAGGCTTGGATTCGGCGATGGTTGGATGATGAATTTCATCCCCGCAATATGAAACGGTTCTAAAATCCAACGGGGGGGGCGGCCGCTCCTCCCCCATGCCAGCTCGAAACGTCTCTTTGTTTCAGGGTGGCTTTAATCTCAGTTGTCACTTTTGGTGGATGTTTCTCCTGCCCCTGCTCTTGCTCTTGAACGCCCTAAACCAATATATATATATATATATATATATATATATATGTATATATATATATATATATACACATATATATAGAGAGAGAGAGAGAGAGAGAGAGAGAGAGAGAGAGAGATGGGTTGAAAAGGCGGGGATGGTTTCAAGAGGGGTTTCCACAAAGTGCTTATGATGGGGGTGGGGGGGTGATTAATGAAAGGAGAAGGCACCTTTTCTGGCTCAAGGGCTCTATGTTGGGTCTATGTCTTTTTTTGAAATAATGGCTGGTGGGGAGTGTGCGAGGATGCAGGCACTGATACCAATATCTCCAAAAAGGTCGCACACCGAAAAGCAGCAAGATCCAAGTTGCTCATTCTGTGGCGTTTCTAGGCGAAGGCAAATCCAGTAATAACAGCGGAAACGGCCAACAAAAACTATCAATTCCACGATCTCGGCCCGAGCCTCTGTTGCCAGATGGGGTGCAAGCATCACAATCATAGCCACAAAAACAAATCCTCAGGCTGGGGGCGTGGAAGGGCTCGACGTGACAGTCTGCACTTGATATGCCTGTACTATCGGGGCCTTAATAATTAGAATAAGGTTTTGGGGCCGATTATACTACACTATAATTATAGCAAGGAACCCCCCAAAATAGTATTGGTAACTATTGAGGCCCCCTATAGTCTGCTCAGACGATCCGAATCAATGTCGACAGCACTCTGTAGATTCAGGACACTGGGCTTCGAAGTAACCAGGAAGAAAAATGTATAGACTTTTATTTCCTAATGGTTCCATGTAAGTAACAGGTCCAAAAAAAGTATTAGATGATGGTACTGCAATCCAGGACAATGATCTTTCAACTGCAGAAAGTCCCCCTGGTGGGAATGGGGGAATGGGATATGGAGAGTATTATGGGGGATTATATGGGGATGGGGATGATATAGGGGCTATAGGGATCCATTCCCCCATTCCCTACTAAGCACCAGGGAGTCAAGTTTTGAAGGGTGCACCGGCCCCGACGTTGAGCGCTGGTGAATCTTTTATTCGGCTTGACTTCGAATCTACAGCTGCAACTCTCTAATCCTGTGTCCATGAGGCCGGACACTCATGCCAAGTCCTTTGATGACGGCAAGCGGCGCTGAAGCCATCGCAAGCGCCCTTCTGTCTGTTCGACCTTCTGTCTGTGATACCTCAGATGGCTTCTGGAGCTCATGGTCTTGCACCCTTAGAACAAGTATTGGAGTTTCCGAAAATCAGGGGTACCGTCTTTTGGGGTCCTTATAACAAGGATCCTATTTTTAGGGTACTATATTAGGGTCCCCAATTTTCGGAAACTCCCGGATTTTCTTGAGCGCATTTTCGGGCAGTTGAGTTGGCATTCTATGCGAGCTGTTACTGCCAATTCTCAGGTTAAGCGGGTGCTGCAAACAGGGTCCGCTCGATCAGTGTCGGAAAGCTATTGCTGTCGCTGCCGTTAGGTTGTGATCGTGAACTGAGTCACGATCTGGGGATTACAACAGGAAACCTAACATCACGGGCTGCAAAACAGAGGGGTCGTTTGAGCAAGGGCACGGTCATGTTGAAAGATACTGGTTTCCAGGTCCGAATTCGGAATCGATGTCGTATATGGGGATTTCCCGTACACTATTCAGGATCCTGCAAATACTTCCCAGAGACTCCAATATCGCTCAATTAGGGAATATGCCTGAAATTGTAGTCGGATCCTTGATATGCTTTCAGGTATATTCCCTAATTAAGGGATATTGGAGTCCCCGGAACCCTAAACCCTCCAGATCTCTTATAGGATCCCTTAAAGGGCCCCAGGTATTCGGTAGGAGTCCTACTATTTTGGGGTTATCGACCCAGGGTTTCTTACTTAGGTTCCTGAGTAGCCCCTTTTAATGGTACACCGGTGCGCCGTTTTACCTATTATTCGGTTACAAAGGGCAAAAAGGGGTACTACTCGGGAACCTAGTAGACCCTAAACCCCTAAAGATCCCTTGTAGAATACTCTGAGGATCCCTCCATAGAACCCTTTAAGGAACCCTTATAAAACCCTCTAAGGATCCCTTATACAACCCTTTCAGAAACCCTTAGACTCAAAAGGGGATCAGGGTTTCGGGTATGACAACTGCCCACCCCAAAGATCTCATCGGGCTGCAGCTTCTCCATCTCCTGCAGTCTTCCAGGCACTGAAGTGGCTTTCAGATATGGTTTAGGGTTTAGGGTCTAGGGTTTAGGGTGTAGGGTCTTAAGTTTAGGGTGTAGGGTATAGGGTTTAGGTGCAGAAGTAGTTCGTAGCTTTCAGAAAAACCCCGCAAAACACCCTTGAGGAACATCGCGTGTGCCTTTCGAGGGCTGGGCGGGAACCCTGCGGTTCGGACCCTCGGTTCAGGTTTCGGCGGCTTCACTTGCTTCACTTCGTTGGCTGTTTGTTGATTAATTTTGTTTATTTATGTGTATAGTCTATTCTGTTTTTATGTTCTAGTTTGTGCTTAAAAGCACATATATATATATATATGTATATATATATATATATATCTCTCTCTCTCTCTCTCTCTGTCTATTATAGTAGATTCTAGAATAGTCTTGCATTGTCATCATGATATTTCACTCCGTCGGGGCATGGGTTGCAGCAGAGTCGACGAATCAAATGGTGTTGCCAGTTCCTTATGAACGAAGCACAAGCCCTACCTTCCTAAACCCCCACAAATTCAAAAACCCCAAAACCTTAAACCCATAAACCCCAAACCCTAAGCCCCTGAACCCCCAAATCCTAAACGGATAAACCCAAAAGACCAAACCGAAGATGTTTTGGGAATGCTCAAAGGGCTCCACCACCTCGCGAGACAGTCCTATGGGGCTTTAGTATTGAGGGCTCAGGGTGTAGGGTACGGAATAAGTGGGGCTTTAGGGCTCAGGGTGTAGGGTCAATTACCTTGTAAGGCGGTAATATACTGCCCTGATTCAAAACCTACCAATCGGGATGCTGATATTGCGGCCTCGAAAAAGGGGAGTTCAACCAGGTGTTTATATCAACGGCCGGATATTAGGATCCCAACCTCAATCCCCATAGAAAGGGGAGGGTCGCAACAGCGGCTTTTCGTGACCGCGAACCGCATGGTTTGTTGTGACATGTAAGGAACAACTGTATGTAGTATCGAAGCATATGTGCTATACCGCTACTGTTTGGACAGTTGTCATTCGGAACAATACAAATGTGGGGTTCATCAGGGTGTTGCATATGTGCACCTACGCCTAAGCGGCAAGGAATGTCGTGGGGCACGTCTTGACACAGCGCTCCAACACTGCTCGAGCATTCATATGTGCCGTGTGACCGGCATTGCCTATTCCACCTGTTGCACTCTACGACACATCGGCACAACCACGCGGTTCCTTGTCGTCGAAGCCCAGGGGAATGACGAAGAGGGAGCGCAGGAACACATTGGCCGGGTAAAGGCGTATCAGATCCTTCAGGGGCCCGATCCGGTCGACAGAGAGATATGAGTTTGACATCTGGGTAGTTGTCAAAATTAGGGTCCCTTTTTGGGTACCCTAAATAATCGGTGCCGTAGTGTATTCGGGATCGAACAAGGGACCATAATTTTGACAACTACCCATATGAGTTTGACGTCTAAGGCCTCTCGAAACCCTAGGGCCCTTGCAAGACGTTTGGAAGAACTTTCTAGGATCCTCATGGGGCTGGGGCTTGGGGGGGGATGCAGATGTGACCAGCCATGTCTGTAAACATACTTCAATGATCGGGATTGGATTCTGAAGTTGGAAGGACCTTTTGGGTTTAGGATTTAAGTCCCACTTGTCGGGTATCATGGGGAACTACAGGCTAACCTTTTTGGCTATATAGGGATTTTAAAGGGACGACACTACCCCAAGGAGGTCAAAGGTTACCTACTCTACTACTAGGAAGTTTTACGGACTTCCGAACCTCCTGCCATCTTTGTACCCCTTGAGCTGAATGCTATAGGGGCCTTTATGATTCGAATAGGGTTTGGGGGTATATTACACGATCATTACCATAAGGAACACCCGCAATAGTATTGGTAATTATTTAGGCCCCTATAGTGCCCAAAAAGCCTGAAAGCCTTAGTCCATCGATTCCTCGCCGCAAGCATGTGAGGCCTCACCCTCGCGAGCCTTGCCGACTGTTCAGGCTTCAACGGGTACTTCCACGGCTTCTGTCGCGGTGAGGACTGGGGTTTCAGTTTGGGGCTTGGGTTGCGGGGGCTTCAGAGTACTAGGGTATCTTGCTGTCGATTGCGTCTGAACTCGCGTGGGTGCGGCTGCTTGGGACGACACCACAGCTTACAGTTGCTTCAAAATGCTAGGTACAATTGGAAATAATGGAGTCCTTTAACTACGTGCTTCAGGGACTTCAATGCTCTAAGTTTGAATCGGGTTTGGGGGTATGCTCCACAATCATACGAAACCATTCAAAGTAGGAGCACTGCTCTTTTGCACTCCTCCAGCCAGTAATTGTGGGAATAACGGGCTCATTCTCGTGTGAAGCCGACGACAGCTCTTCAGTCCGTTAGCTCTACTTAAAGGGTCATGGGACTTAGTAAGTAGGGTTATAAGTCAGGTAACTACAGTTGTAATTACTTATAACCCCGATTACAGTATTTATAACCCTACTTACTAAGTCCCATGATCCTCCAAGTAATGACGCAGCGCAACTCTTGGTGAAACCCGCACCACTCTGTCCCCCGCAAAACCCAGAACCCAACACCCCAAAACCTTGGGACAAGTTTTCTAGAGGACTGAATAGCCTATAAATTGCGACTGTTGTTCCCCAAGCGGTCCCTGCAAAATTCACTTTTTCACTGCAACATACCCTCAAACCCTGCCTAACCAAGCTGACCCTAACCCTAAAGCCCTATCTTGCAAGTTGGGGCTGTGCACCGACGAGGCTACCCGGCCAGTAGCCATGGCTTTCCGCGTTCGAAGGGTGTGCTGCAGATTGTTCGGTAGATTTCATAATGGTTATAATAAGGGTTTCATGAGGCTTGTAGGGCTTGGCAAGGATTTTTCAACAGGGCTCTTGTGGTTGTAGAAGGGCTTTTGGGCTTCGGCAGACTTGGGCCGCTTGGAGCTCAAGTTACGTTTCGTGCGGGTCTTCTCTCTCTGCAGAAGGGGTTGCACAGATGCATGGTTGTGGAAATGGCACAGTGGCTATCATGCCAACACCCCAAATGCCAAACCCCAAACCCTCAACCCTATGAAGAATGCACATCTTGATTTGCTGAGCCATGAACCCCAAGCCTTAAACCCTAATGCCTTCGCGACATGCGGAGGCCTCGCATTAGGTAGTCTCACAGAGCCGGCGAGGCGAGGGAGATTGGTGCTGCTTGACTGCAGAATAAGAACGATAGCGATAACAAGTCATAGCAATAAATACCATGGTAAGAATAAGAACAAGAATAATAACAATGAAATGAATAAACGTAATAATGCTTGTAAAAGTAGCATTTGGTTCGCAG